CAATGCTTTGCATAATATTGGCCACATAATAGGTCTCAAGAAATATTTTCAAATCAATGAATGAATGAAACTTATTTTATTTCTACATGTACACTCTGAGAAAAATTGGGTCATTGTTTAAGGATCACTGGCCTCAGTAGAGGCCAAGAGACATGTTTATAAGAAGTATAATGCCTAAACCAGAAAAGTGGGGTAGAAATGGCGAAAAAGAAGTTAGATAGAGAATATCTTAGAGGCACAATCAGCAGAATTGATGGTTGGATATTGGGGCTGACATAAAGATTGTGGTATGAAATGATCCTGGATTTCTGACTTTGGCAACAAGATAGTGATATCTTAACTAAGATACAGAATACAGGAGGAAGAGCAGGTTGGATAAAAGGTGTAGAGATGTCGAGTTGTCATGAATTTGTTCAGGGCATGTTAAGGGGAGGTGCTTTTGGGAGGACAGGTGGACTTATCTGAACATTAATATATGGGTGAGGGGAGGAGTAAAATTATGAGATGGCCCAGGGGAAACAGTGGATGTAAGAAAAAGGTCAAGCACAGAGTCTGGAACACCAACTTTGTTACAAATTGTGCTAGATCTCTTACTTTTGCCCTCCAGATGCACCTGCACCCTGCCCAGGAGGACAACTGTATAGATACACCAATGGGCATCCTTGTCCTCTGTTTTGCTTGGGTTTCATTCATGTGAGAGATCAGCAGTAGATAGAAGGAGAGAGAAGAATGACATCCATATACTAGCCCACTCCCTGGTCAGGCTCAGTGTGGTGATAAAGACCACTGTCACTGCCTGGGGTACCCGTCTTGCTTTTCTAAACCACACACACTTTGTACATAGCCCTTTTATTAAAACCCCTTAATCACCCAGCATGAAAATGCCTTCAGTTTCCTAAAGAGACTGAGTGATACACAAAGGGTCCTAGGAAAGAAAAGATAGGCAAACTAATCTGATAAACTAACTCCACTAAAGTGCCTTAGAAGATTACTTTCCTAAATAAACAGACCTCTTGAAAACTAAAGGAATAACCCTGAAAGTTAAAATTTAGGCATCTAGACCAAGGAGTGATGGTTGTTAGCTAGAATGGCTATAATGGCAAATTAACTGGAAATTCCAAAGATTAAATTCCCATGAGGCATATTCCAAAGGACTAAATAACCATGCGTATAAGTCACTTGCAGGTATCTATGGTGACATGGTCTCATATTGTAATAACTTCATAAGGTTAATAATGGCAGGATTCCAAATCTCATATAAAACTGGCGTGTGAAGGGTGGATATAAAAGAACTGCAATCTTCCACCTCAATGGCATCCACCCGCTGGTCCAACAGCTGGTATCGAAATAGAACAAAATATATGAAGAAATACTAGGAAAATTCAGCTGTCTGCTCTGCTAGAACCCAAACACGTAATATCATATGTTTGGTTGTATAAAGATGGGTTTTTACATACATGTATATGGCCTCAACATTATTTTTGAATATTTTAAAGCTGGGCAGTGGCCTTCCATTGAGCTCTTCAGAGCATATAATGCAGGCCACTGCTGACTTTGCCTCAGCTCTGACATCCGCTTCCATATCTGTATCCTGGTTATCTTTACTGCTCCACAGTTTACAACTCACTGCCTAAATGAACCCTCTAGACACATCCTACTTGATTCTGAGGGCTGCCATCATAGTTACAGTCCTTAAGACCCTTCTACTACAGCTTGTTTGTGCCTAGATTACAAATTTAATTGTGTTTCTATGACTTAGCCATTCAACCCTGCAAGAATGCAGGGAAAAAAAATAGTGGGGGCCACTCAAGAACAGTTTAAATGTTAACATATTTAGAAAAAGATTTATTAGTAATACAAATATGAAATACTTTTGATGTTGGTATTCAGGTCATTAGAACTTAGTGTCAATCATGCTGTTAGAACTTGTCATTGACATCAATAAGACAAAAGAAAGGGAGCAAATCCGGAACTGTGGTTTGTTTCCCCTATGCATCTCAATTCGAAATCTAAGTAATTAAGTAAAATCAAAGAAAGATCCCAAACTTGAAAATAACCCCAAAGTTTATCTCTTCTGACCTCCTTCTCAATTCACTAATTTTTCGTACAACGTCCCTGACAAAGTCATTTGTTCATACACTCAACAGACACAAATTGATCACGTGTCCCTGTCAAGCACCATTTATTTAATCCCAAAGATGAAAGCATTTTCATGTGACTTCCAAGAAACTCACGCCAAGTCTGTCCTTGAATGCTGACTTCATAACAGAAATCATTATCAAACCATTCTTTTGAACCAAATCACCTCCACACTACTTCCAGTAGAGAAAAATACCTATCCCATTTTGGTCTCTTCTCTTTAAGAGAGGCTTTGAGAAACTTTAATGTGCATAGAAGAGTGTTCTGGACACAAAGTCGTTTGAGGAGTAATTGAGTAAACTTGGTATGTTTTGCCTAAAAAAAATCCTTGAGGTCAGTCAGGGTGGATGGCAC